TTGTCTGGTCAGCTACGTTTGCAAGTAGCCGAAGAACTGTGTGAGGGCAGAAAGGAAGCCCATGTATGGCGGGCATCACAGGCAACAAAGCTGATGGACTTTGGAGATCCTGAGCCAAGCCATCTACCCAATTTGGCCACCCTGCGAAAAGCAAAGCAACAGAGGAACAACTTGGAATTAGCTGACAAAGATCCAATTTTGTCACTGCAGCTGTTAAAATATAGTGCACCTCACAGTGGTAGCATTAGAGACATTGGCCTGGACAAGTTTTTCTGTCACTACTGGAGTCAAACCCAAATGCATGTGTATAAAACATTATCAAAGAAATCTCACCAGACAGTGTGTTTTGATGCAACAGGCTCCGTAGTCAGGAAACTGGTGAGACCAAATGGCTCATCTGGGCACATCTTCCTGTATCAGGGCGTTCTGACAGGGCATAATAGCTCAAGTGTCCCTGTGGTACAGATGTTGTCAGAGAGACATGATACTAATGCAGTCACACAGTGGCTGACAGAATGGATTCGTGCAGGAGCACCACTTCCAAAAGAAGTTGTCAGTGATTTTTCTCTGGCCTTGCTTGGGGCTTTGGTCAAGACTTTTACTCCTCACCCTGACCTGAAGTCTTATATCAATGAGTACTTTGATGTCTTACTTGGGAAATGGTCTGCAAAACTGCCCTCTTGTTTTGTCAGGGTTGATGTCGCACACTGCATCAAAATGATCTGCCAGTGGGACTGCCTGAAAAACAAAACACATCGCATTAAAGATTTTTTCATGAGGTCAATACTACAGCTTCTTAAATCACAGTCTCTGAACCATGCTAAAGAGCTAATACGTGCTATCACTATTGTGGCACTGAGCGAGGCAGAAGGCAATGACAGTTCCGGAGCACCTCTCACATCAGAAAGGTACAAGAACTACCTGAAAGCTCAAATTGCAGAAGTCTTCATTCCAGAGGAGGTAGAGGAAGAGAAACTGGAACAAGTGAATCTCTGTGATGAAATACACACTGACCTACAGCAGTGGGTTACAGAAATTTGTGATGAGAGCAGGTCACTTGCTCCCATATTGCTTTTAACTTTGTTTGACCATATATCTATTTTCCTTTTAAAGAATTTAGTGTCCCCCTGTCTTCGCTGGCACTCCTGGTCCCGCCACTACGCCTGATGTCGGCAGTGATGTGGGAAGTGGTACGCCAGCGAAACATAAAGCACTATGGGAAACTGGAGGAGTTTGTGTCCATGGTAACAGATGCAGTTCCTGAACTAATGAGTAAAAGAGAAGGGAGGCTGCTCTCACTGGGCCTCAGAGCAAGGGTAAGTGAAATGTTTCTGTGTAAATGTAAATATGACTTTCAGCATTCAGTGAAACACTGCTATTAAAGATAGGGTTGGCATTTCCTTCTGGAAGCATTTTTTGTTACATTTATTGACTTTCTCTTTTCATCCCAATGGCAATGAATCCATTAAATGCACTGACAACAAAGAAAAAAAATCCATCATCCTTGGCAGCAGCAGCAGGGCTGAAAAACACCTGACCAATAATTTTACTCATCCCAAGCAAAACTATTGGATGGCCTCCCTGCCTGTCAACCTCCTTATTTGCACACACTCCTGCAAAGCATTGCAGGCAGACATGTTACTGCTCTGTTGTACAGCTAAACTTAGAGAGCTATGGCCGAGAAGGTCCCCACATCAGCTTTCATTCACAAACAGAGACTGTTGTTACAGGCCAGGCCGTCCCCTTTGAAACATACAGCCTTATGGGTAATGTTGTTGCTAGACGTTGCTACTTACGTGCAGTGTGCACAGTATGAAAGTGAGAAGACCACCACATAGAACAGATGTGTTTTACATGCAGCCAGCCAGTAGTCGGCTCTAAGTGTATAGATAGGATTGTAATGCAGTTAACTGGGCATCAAGGCCTCATGCAGTGTTTGTGTTACCAAGACAGAATAAAGCTGTGTTTTGAACGGCGTTAACTGGCCGCCCTCTTCACTTCTGCCTGTAGAAAAGTACAGACTTCTAAGGCTAGGTGCCGCTACAAGCCAGGGTTAAAGCAGTTTAGCGCTGGATCAGAGGTCTCCAACTGTGGTTCACTACAGATCTGGGTGGGTAACGCTGGGTGAGAAAGTTACAACTAAAATGAAGTTGGATGCTGCAAAAAGTAAAACCAGAATTAACATTGATGTGGCTTCTGAATGATGGTGACAACTGAGAGAACAAAAGGGGCTGAAAAGTGACACCATGGTGGCTGTGTTTGTGCTGGACAGGTAATTATCATTTGTTTTGTTTGGGGGCCATTTGTTATTTTCCTGAAACCTGTAAGTAATAGTAGGGCAGTGCACGCTGTGTTTTGGAGGAGTGGCTTTGGGAAGAAGATGAAACGAAGGGGTGGGATTTCTTTGGTTTTTACTTTCAAAATTGTGCTTCCTCTTGCTGCCTTTTCCAGGATCACCAACCCTACCTTTAAAAGTGCAAACTAAATTTTTTCTAGACAACTCTTGAGCTGTTACGTTCTGAACACCCTGAAGATCTTAAGGCTGTTGAGACCCACCTTAACCGAATTCGATCTTCTTGCATTGAAGAGGTGAGTGTTTTCTTTTGAACTGGTCAGAGAAATAAAATGATTAGTCAACTAATTAATTAATTGGACAGCATAAAGCACATCTGCAGCTATTTTTACCTCCACAATGTTATGATTTTGCCTGTGTTTCTTAACAGCATAACTCAAAAAGTAATGAATGGATTTGATGCTATTTATTTATTTCTATGTGAGCACCTTGTGGCCAAAGTGCATGTCTGTGCTGTTGAGCACTCAGAGTACATACAGAGACAAATCCCTAGGTCAGTGACAGCTGCCCATTCATTGTCAGAAGAAGCCAAGTGCCATCGCTCAGTTCACCCTGCTGTGTGAGACAGGGACTGTAACAGCTGGGTGAGAGCCCAATGGCAGAGATTTGGAGCTGGGCTCAAAGCTGTTTTTGTTTTCATCCACAGGACTGATATTATGCCATTTTAAGTTTTGACTTTTTTTTTTCCAGGTGAAAAAGTAAGAATATGTGGTTAGTTTATCCAGATAATGGCAGTTTAGAATTAGTTCTGATGATTTCTGAGATGTGAGCGCTTGTTATCTGGGCATGCTAGCTCTATTAGCAGGCAGCTACATCTCCTTCAGAGCACAATTGTCTGTTGGGAAGGGCGTCGGTGTTCCAGCTGCACATTATAGCTTTTTCCACTGTCAGAACCTAACGAGTGGTTCACCACGTGTTTCCCTTAACCATCACCCAGCGGACCATCCTACGTTGCTTCACTGTATTTTTCTCTGTGTCGGTCTCTGTTTAGAGGAGGCAGGGGCGGCGCTCCCCTCTTTCACACACACTCACAGCTGAGCAGAGGACATGAAGGATCAGTCCATAGTGCAATGACCAGCCAGTAACAGAAACTGTATGAGCAGTTTATTAAACAGCTGTTGAACAAGCAGAACACGGACTCGCAGAAATGTGACGTATTCACCGCTTTGCCCACGGTCCACCCACTGAAGTCCCCATTTTACCCTTAAAACCAACAAGTGAATGTCTGTCATGTCTGTTGTGTGTTTTTTGAATAACTTTCAAACAATCTATCATTACCAAATGCCAGCAGTAGGTTTTCATGGTCAAGCGCAATCAAATTATGAGGGGCAAACTATCATGGGAAAATTGCTTTTAGGTGTAATGGCATTATGGGCAAATGGATCTGCCCTCTCTGAGAGCTGTCCAGTTAAAATAATAATTTGATGCCGCTTTTTTTTTGGCATTTTTGTCTTTATTTGAATATGAATTGCATGCAGACAAGAAATATGAGGAGATGGGGGAGTATGACATGCAACAAAGGCCCCTGGCCAGAATTGAACAGAGGTGGTAGCAGTTAAATGGCATGTGCTGTAACCATTCAGCTACAAGGGCGCTCCTGATTAAATTAGTAAGAAATAATAATAGATACCAATAAATTAATTGATTAGATTTCAGGATTTGCTGATTGATGGTCTTTGGTTATTTGGAACTCACAAAGTTTTTCACTGTTGGTGTGACAAACCATTTAAGGACATCACCTTGAATAATTGATGAGCATTTTTCACGATTTTCAGAAATAGTCAAAACACTGAATTGATTAAACAAGAAAATAATCAAGAGGTTAATCAATAATGAAATGTTTTATATCTGATTGCCCTGAAGTCAGCTGACTAGTGTCTTGTTTTCCAGACAAATGATCCGATAATTGAAGCACCAGAGGCAAACTTTATGAAGTTGGTGCAAGGTCTCATTGAAGACACTGATGGCAGAGAACATTTCCTGAAGGTAACATTAATATTAAACCTGATTTATATGATTCAGTAAAACATGTGTCACATTTCAAATGTTAATCATTTATTAAAATTGTACACATAAAAATATAACGTAGGTATTTTATGTCTGTTCCTGAGGCTGATATCTTAGGTGACGAGCTGTCTTTTCTTTCACCCAACAGAACGTGTTTCCTGTGGAGTACGGCCCTGACTTCGACACAGCACTGGAGACTTTAGTTAGTGAATTCTTTTCCAGACTGGAGGAGCTGCTGCCAATACCAGATTTCAAACAGGTAGAGAAAGGATTGCTTAAAAAGAAGAGAAAGTCAAGTTCAAGTTCAAAGTGTTTATTTGTCATATGCACAGTTAGGAAACGTGTTTCCCTGTACAATGAAATTCTTACTTTGCCGTCCACATGAATGCCACAAAATACAAATGAAATATAAAGTAGATAAATAAACACAATGCAGCAATATAGTAGAAAAAGAAATATACAAGAATATAATATGAGAATGTGGGGGGGGTTGGGATCTTTGAGGATGGAGGCAGCCTTCCTACGTCAATGGGTGATATTGAAGTCTCTTATAAGAGTCGTCATTTCCCTAAGTTGCATCTTTTCCTTGTGTCTTATCCCACCCGCGTAAGATGCAAGGAAAACATGAGAGAGGAGAGGACACGAGGAAACACATTATTAATGGCTGAAGCGTCCGATCACCAATTGATTTCTGATAAAGGATCATGTTGCTTCATAAAAAAACTTGTGAAGGATGCTTTTATAGTCATGGCTCCTCCAGTAGCTTCCTCCATCCATGCTCTTCAGAGCCAATATAAGACACTTGAAACTTGGGCTGAGGATGTAGGAATGATTATATAAGAGACTTGAGAAGCACCCAGCGATAGGCAAACTAACAACTTCAAATTCTAAATTTCTCTTGTTTTTGCTCCTCTCATGAATAGACTGCCTCTTGGATCAGTGCTGCCCCTTCTGTCCTAGAGGAGTACATGCAGTGTGTCTCAAATGGAGACGATCTTAAATTTCTTCTCCAAAGCAAACAGTGCCACGGGAAACTGGCAAAGAGTAGCATCGGTATGCACACAGCTTGCATTTGCTATCAGCTAGTCTACAAATGCTGTATTGTATTGAAAATTTACTTTTTGTATTTTTCCTGTAGCTCCCTTTCAGTCAGATGATCTTCTCATTCCCTCTCTGTCCCTCCCTCCATCACTGGAAGTGGCCATCGCTTCCCATCCGAGTGCTTGTGATGATGAAAATAATGATGTTCCCCAGATTGTCATGTTTGATGAAGAACTGTCAACAAACCCTTCCACATCGACTGACTTCCCTGAATCACCAAAAAGGACTGAAATATCTCCTCGCAGGAGACAGCAGCCAGGAATACATAAATGCCCCGAGTGTGGCAAATGCTTCAAGCATCACTCAGTCCTTATTGAGCACCAGAGGGTCCACAGTGGGCTGCAGCCTTACAACTGCTCTGAGTGTGGAAGGGCTTTCAGAACAGCCACGTTGCTAGCTGGTCACAGGCTCCGGAAGTGCAAAAATGCTGCATATCTGTGTATTAAATGTGGAAACAGTTTTCCAACATCACTGGACAAGTTCAGACATCACTGCCCAAAACGGGGCCGTAACTACGACTGTGTTCACTGCGGAAAGAGTTTTCAAAAGTCCAGCAGCTTAAAGGAACATGTACTAACACATGTTCAAAGCCGACTTTTTAAATGCAGCCATTGTGGGGTGGGTTTTTCAGGCATTGGTGACCTGAAGTATCATCAGCAGGTAGATCATGATAAGCCCTATCAGTGTAAGCAGTGTGGGAAGAGCTTTATCTCATCCAAGTGTCTGACCAAACACCAACAGCGCCATGAAGAGGCTGGTGAAATGGAGGCCATCAAATTAATGAGCAGAGGTAAACATAGGAAAAGTGGCTCAGCCCATCGGACTTCCTCGATATCTCTGTCCTCCAGGAAGACATCGGCCAAAGCTGTCTACCCACGAGGACGAGTCACTCATAACTGTCCGCTGTGTGGAAGGAGCTTCAAGTATCGTTTTGAGTTTCTCGAGCACCAGAGGTTCCACACTGCAGTGAAACCTTACAAATGCTCCCAGTGTGGCAAAGCCTTCCGCACAGAGGCTCACCTCTCTGGGCACCGGAAGAGAAAGTGTAAAAATGCTGCCCACATCTGCACCAAGTGTGGGTGTCAGTTCAGGTCTTTACATGAGCGGGTCAGACATCAGTGTGTGCAGCTGCTGACAAAATATGAATGTTCTCATTGCGGAAAGACCTTCAAGATGGCCCATCTGCTGAGGAACCATCAGATGAGTGAACACCAGCTTCCCTACAGCCCCAACCATCGCTTCCGGTGCAGGTACTGTGATGAGACCTTCCCTGGGATCAGCGAGCTGAAGTACCATCAGAGAGTTGACCACGAGAAACCCTACCAATGTCAGGAATGTGGCAAGTGTTTCCTGTCTGAGAAATGTCTGGCCAATCATGAGCTGCGCCACAATGATGACAGACCAGAAAGCTGCCTAGTCTGTGGCCGCGGCTTCAGAAACCGCTATGATTTGAAGCAGCACATGCGCACTCACACAGGTGAGCGACCTTACCAGTGTACCCACTGTTCACAGTGTTTCTCCACCGCAGGAGGACTGAGGAGTCACACCAGGGTTCACACGGGTGAGAAGCCTCATGTTTGCCCCGACTGTGGAAAGGCTTTTTCCCAGATGGGTGCAATGCGCACACACAGGCTCACCCACACAGGAGAGAGACCATTCAAGTGTACAGTGTGCGGCAAAGGTTTTACAATGGCACACAAGGTAACAGTTCACATGCGTGTGCATACTGGAGAGCGGCCATATGTGTGCTCTCAGTGTGGCAAAGCCTTCTCAGATGGCAGTGTGCTGAAGCAGCACATGCTGAACCACTCAGGAGTGAGACCCTACCATTGCCAGATCTGTCCTAAGACCTACACCTGTCTGAACCACCTGAGAAGGCACCTGAAAAGCCACTCTAACATGAACTGAGCCAGGCACAAAGGCAAACTGTAACAGAATCGAGAGACATTTTGTCGACTGCAGTGTTTCCAGGCAATACATGAAAGAATATAGAATGTTGTAAGTAAATGGATTCACGACAGCCATTTGTAAAAGACTACAGCAACTAGCACAACAATTGGTTTTCTCTCATCCTTCACCAGGCTCTTCCCAGAGCTTTCTTTTTTTTTATGCATGAATACATTAGAATGATAAAGTGGACATGATTTGATGCCGTGTGTTCAGAACAGGAGCTTTAATATTGGTGAAAATATATTTTTGGAAAGGCCTCAAAGGTAACAGACATGAATTTTGGCGCTCTGTAAATATGCTGAAAGAAATACTGTGGGAGTGCAAAGTTGCTGACACATGGCATGACTTTATTCCTCTGGGCCTTTTATATCTCTGCTATGGTTTGCAAGGTATGTGAATTTCAAATTAAACTACCTTGGCTACACCTTGTGCATGTTGATTGAGTTTATTTAATAACTAAAAAAAGGTTGCATGTACTATGAAAGGTTTCACTAGATGGCAGTAGGTGACCCAGTAACCATTTCCTCTTGATATTCATGCATTATCAGGCGGTGCTGGCCGCTTGTGACTGTAGGAATTCAGTCATTTTCAGTCCCTTAACCGAAGCTTCATCTACTAAATTGTTGCTTTTTTAATTGACAGGAAGCAATCACATGTTCTTTTCTGCAGACTGTAGTAAGGTAGAGACAAATCCGGAGGGTTTTTGAGGACACCAGATTGATGAAAGGATTCATGCAATGGATGTTAGTCTGGCTCATTTCCTCTTATTAACTTCATTTAGTCTGGTTCAGAATCTTGATTAGCCTGTAATTTCCTCATGTTTTGACTGGCGCCCAGCAGTATCTCAAAATGGTGTAAACAGTCATGGAGAACTCTTCACTGCCTTCTGTTTGTACAGTGCCACTTTGGCCTATAACTAACAGTAAAGTTTGATGTCGACCACTATTGTTCAGAGTGCATTTATTAACTGGGACCTCAGGCAAATGAAGTCTTGAGACCTATTGTAACAGGCTCATTGTGAGTAATATTTTCCATCTGTGCTGCCCTGACTTTTATGTTTTCACTGGCAAGAGAAACTTTTTTTTTAAGCCCTCAGTTTGTGCCTTTTTCCATGCCTGTGTTTTATCCATGGCCACTTATGCATAGTAACATTTGAATACTGTTTTCTAAAAACGCCAAATCTGCTGTTTACAGGAAAGTACAATCCCAAGGAGGAGTGTGGTGATGTTAAATGTTGCAAGGACATTTATTGACCACAAGCTTTAAAAGCTTTCAGCCTAGAGACACTGGCTATAATAGGAGTATTCCCTCTTTCTCTGACTCAGAAATTTCTTCTAATCTTCTCCAGTAAACATCGGGATCCTGTGGAAACTGCATCCTGTCTGCCAATAGGCTGTCTCTAGACATTATGCAGAATGCCTTCGCTTTAGGATCTGTACTTTTTGGGAGCTTTTAACTTGTTGATGACATAAGCAATCTTTGTTTCCTCAGGGTGAGAGATAATGGCATTCACTAATCACGATCCAACTTCTCTGCTTCATGACTGAAAAATTAAACACAAATGTACCCAACAGATTTCCTTCTTCTGAATAAAATGAGCTGAATAAAAGCACTCCTAAATGTTTTGCTAATGAATTCCTAGAGATTTTTAGGGATTAATGTATCTCTGATAAAAATTGATCTAGAGACATCTCAAAATGCATACATCACAACTCGTACACACCCACACAGCTCTCAAAACTGCAGCAGATTTACTGTGAGAACTTGCTAATAAACAGATTATTTCCAGATGTCCCCCAGATCTCATCATCCCTCCTTCTTTCCCATCTTTCCTTTCCTGCCTTCCTTGCTGCTGTGCACAACTTTTTTCCCTGGAATTATCTCAGTGGAAAACCTGAATCCAGGCCTGACCTTCCCTGCAGTCCACCACGCACATGTATGTCCATGGCAACTTTGCAGCACCCACCCTCATCAACGCCTTGCCAAATGAGCAGTCCTCCACGCCCATGCTTTCCCGTCAGCTTCCATGAAAGTGCATCACTGAAACCCCAAACTCTTTCCGAAGTCCTCTCCAAGAACTGCCCACAAGAAGCACTAGATGGCACTGTGTCTCTTCCTGTGTCCAAGGAAAAAGGAATTAAAGAAAGCTCTCCTCCTCCCTCCTCTAATGTCTTGCTTTTATGTTCAGTTCAGGTCTGGATGCTGAAGTGAACCAGATGTAATAAAATTCTACCCTCCCCCGTCTTTCACAGAACAGACAGACTCTTAACAGAAAGAAAATGCAAAACGCTGGTCACCTCATTAAAACTCACATCTACACACGGTTCATTTCTTTTTTGTCTACATGACGTGTATGAGTTAAAAAATAAATATTACAAGGCTTTCTCTGATTTCTGATTATAGTGTTATTAAAACATCCAAATATAGTCAGGATCCGTTTCTACATGTGCCTTCTTTCCTGTAAAATAAAAAAGAAATCTGCACAGTGGATGACACTCAGCAGGTTTATTGTTTATACCTGTGTAACCATGTCCCTGTGGGGCCCTTTTAAGGAAGCAGACATAACTTGGATTCTGTTTAAACTTTGTCTGTGCGCGCTCTAGTCATCTTAGAGAACGCGCATGAACTCTCCCTCCTCCTCCCTCACTGTGCGCTCTGGGTCTTGCCTTGGACGAACTGCGGAGGAACGCTGGATCATCAAAAGTTCGCCGAATTGCGTTAGAGGTACCGGGCGTGGGGGTCGGAGAGGTTCGGTGTTTGTTTGTCGAGGAACTGGGGTAGCGTGTTTTGTAGTCTTTAGTATTCTTGCATTTTAATCATGGAGGCTTTCAGAGGTCTCCTTGCGCTGCTGTGCGTTTTCCTGGCTGGTGCGCAAACGGCGAATCAGAGACACAGGTTTGCGGGTAAGTTTGCTGAAAATATGTCCTACTTTACAAGAAAATGTCTTCATATGTGGTGTTTAGGGCCTTATGCGACATGTAACGTCGTCTCTCAGTGGATGAATGTACTGAAATCATGTTTGCTTCAAGTGCTGGTGCAGATGTTCATTGTTCTTTTGAAATCAGGGTACCTTACTAATAGGCAGCAGAGACCCAATAAGAAGGAAAGTAAGATCAGGGGATAACAGTAGCTTACTCCGCTTTGAGCAGGTCCCTATTTGTTTTCATGGCTGTCTCAATGGGCCTGAATATAAGACTCTGAGTGTGATGCGGACTAAGATCTCCCAGTGCTGTGTATGACAAATTGAGAAGACTGGACAAGAACCAAAGCAGATGATGACACCTGAGGCCTGATGCTGTGCAGGCATCCAGACACTGTGTGGGTACAGGCAAACTCAGGCCTGCAGTCATAAATCTACCTTTTTAAGATGGCTCAGGTACAGCAGCGTACTGCTCCAAGTTTGTCATGTTGGCCTGCAAGGCCTCCGGTGCTCAGTACTGATACCATGGATGGATGAAATACCAGTTCTTAATCAGACAGAATTCTGTTTTTGAGCTTACCATTGGTTTCTTTTTCTTTCTTTCTTTTTTTGGCTGTTTTTGTGTTTGTTTGTGTGTGGGGGGGCGGGGGTCAGTGGATAATGTTTGCTGACAGCCATCTTTTCTTGTATGCTTTGTGAACAGAGTGTCCAGTTGACCTTTTCTTCGTCCTGGATACATCTGAGAGTGTGGCCCTCAGACAGAAACCTCCTGACTTTTACATTGGCCAGATCAAAGAATTCACCATGCGCTTCATAGATGAACTCAAGGACATGTAAGACACACAGACACACGAAGTGTTAAGAAGGGTCCAAATAGCTTACTTATAAAAGAGTAATGGCGTAGTGGAAAGATACTGCATTACAACTAAAAGCCCTGTATTTCTTACTTAAAAAGAGTAACTAAACACCTCCAGTGGTTTAATTTCTCACGATGCTGCAGTGATGTACAGGTGTGCTCTGGGATACTGTGACATCATTGTAGGGTGTGGTTACAGGTGCAATACAGCACACTTCTGACTGCAGCATATACTGTATGCTCATGTCAGTCATAATATTAAGATGCTTAATTCTTCTAATCTATACTAATGCATCATTTTAATGAAGTATATGATTACATCCCACCACACCATGTTGCATACTGTTGATTTGATGGTTGTACTCTTAGATGACTATGTCATGAGTCTTCTAAACACCTCTATGTATCCAGGCGCCACCGATGTGACCGCACCTTGACATGGAACTCAGGAGCGCTGCACTACAGTGACGAAGTTATCGTTGTGCGAGAGCTCAGTGAACTGAGCACTGATCGCCAGGCCCTGAAGGATGACATTAATAAAATTAAATACATCGGCAAGGGCACGTACACTGACTGTGCCATCAAGAGGGGCCTCGCTGAGCTGCTTGTTGGGTAATACCATTACGCACATGAACACTTCAGCAGATTAAGTAATAAGTGCAGTGATATCATGAGGTGCATGTTTATTTGTGTGCCTGCTCACATGCAGGGGTACTCACTACCATGAGAACAAGTACATTGTGGTAGTGACTGATGGCCATCCTGTTACTGGTTACAAAGAGCCATGTGGAGGAGTGCAGGAGGCTGCTAATGAAGCCAAGCATCATGGAGTCAAAGTGTTCGCTGTCGCCATCTCACCTGACCAGGAGGTACAAGATACTCACACACACAGTGTTAGCTACAGAGCAAAATTTCATCTGGAGTCCCTGGGCAGGAAGTACGAAGACGTTCTGTATCATCATACATGTCATAATCAGTTCCAAGCTAGCTACTAACCAAACCTTCACCGCAAAACTCAAAACTAAAAGCATAACCTCAGTACCTCCCCAGTCTTTAAGAACTGGTTCAAAGTCCTGAAAGAAGTCTCTTAAAAACTCTTCAATTAATTCTAACCTGATCCTAGAAACCAATTGAGAGGAGGAGAGTCAAGAGAAGTGACATGAAACAACCTAAAGTAAAGTAAAGAGAAGTGAAGTACAGTAAAATAAAGTAAAGCGAAGCAAAGTGAGGTGAAGCACAGCATGTGTCTGCAGTCAAACAAGTAATGATAGGCGACCTAAATGTCAGTGTGATACTAGGAGGACAAATAAAAGTCCAGTTATTGGATGATGGATTTAAAAAGGCCTTTGTGAGCTTTTTATTCACTGTAGGGTGTTTTTGATGTTCTTCATGGAAATCGAACTGTAGGTAATAGCTGATGTCCAGTTCCAACAGTAGTGGACGCTAACTTGGATCCTTTCAATACAGCTGTCACAGAATTAAGGTTTTAGAAATCAGTGTTACTGGTCACATGCTGTTGTTTAGAAGAAAGGGTATCATAGACCCATAGGTGGTGATGTTTGTGTGATGTGTCTCACCAGGACACCAGACTGTCACTCATTGCCACAGACCACAACTATAGACAGAACTTCACCGCTGCAGACGAGGCCAGGTCCACCAAGATGGGAACTATTCAAACAATCATTAACATGATCGTATGTATTTAGTCTTTTCGCTTCTCTATAAAATAGAATATAATATTCGGATTTTGAACTAACCTGTGTTTACCTTTTTTTTTTTTCCAGACCAACGAGACAAAGGATGCGGTATGTTTTTTGAGATCAGCTTTTAAAGAAACTGATCCAATCCTTTTGTAATTGTTTGCTGATTACAGTTAAATATAAAGGAGATGTACATAGTAACTGTACATGTTACTGTGTCACAGAACCTGTTTGGAGCTGTTCATGACTAGACCTGCCAAGCATGGCTAAAAATGTCATCAGTAATATTAAGCTTCTTTGGCAGTTTGTATTTTAATATTCTTGTTCATTCTGAATTGTTTTAACTGAGGGATTATTGATTATGTATTTTTTAGTTTACTGTGTAAACATGTGTCATAGATTTTAGGTCACTATCTTCTTCCTAATCATTGTCAGTGTCTGGTTCAGTCTCATCTCTGCTGCTAAACTGCCTCATATTCAGGAAGCAAGGAGGGGACACACAAGTCCACCACAGGGAGCTGAAATGCAACTAACAAAAATTTAATTAAGATTTCTGTGATATTCATGATTATGGCTACTTTGGTATCACTGCAGCCATATCTTAAATGTCCAACATGTTGCCCAGCCCTGCTGTTATCTGACAGTTCAGTACTATGATGTTAAGTTCAGTTGACTCCATGAATATTATTATTTATGTATGTTGCTTGAGATCAGACCAGAAAACATGGGGTTATTCCATGCCTCCTGCTTAGAGGTGAACCAAAGTATCCTGTAATCTACATAGCAAAATTACATAAAGAGACCTTTTCCATTTTACGGTGTTCATCATTTTTATTTTCTTATCTTTCTTCCAGTGTTGCTCTTTCGACTGCACTGTAAGTATGCCAGTGTTTACAATATATTACTGCCAAATGAGATGGTTTGGATTTCACTTGGATTTCACAACTGTTTCACTGATTGTATTTTATTGTCTTGTCTGTAGGCTCCAGGAGGGCCCAAAGGACCAGATGGAGACACTGGCTCTAGGGTGTGATTATGTAACAAATATATCTGATGCACATGATGCTACTAGGAAAATTAGGATTGCCCCATTGTTTCATTAAAACCTTAAAACTAATGAACCAATGAACTTTTCCTCCCTCTGTT